CAGAGGCTAAATTAATTATTAATTAATTAAAACTAATTCATTCATTTTTATATAAATAGACATTGTATCCTTTATTATATTTCTATATCTTTATATTAATGTGCCTTTTATTTCATAGGAAGAACATTATTTCAGTCAATAATTGACTGAAAACTATTTCTGTTTTAAAAAATGGCCCAGTTCGTGTAATCTAGTTTGGGATATCGAAGTGCCATCCTGGATTGTGTTTTTAAATTGTAGTTTTTAGACTTTTTAAAACAATGTTGGTTTATTCCGATTTATTATAATTTAAATTTTCGTGTTTAGAACATAAGGGCAATGAAATAGGGAGAGCTGTGGCAGAGTGGTGAATAAAGCCAGGCGATAACTCCTTTTATGGTTTCAAGGTGCTTGACGGGACTCCTCCCCAGTTGAAGTGAACACGTAAATAAATAGGCCAAGCCTTTAATTTCAGTTGTCTCATCTATAAAATGAAAATTTTTTTCTGGTAAGTGTCACACTTTTATAAATAAAGACGTCCAGATAAACTGATAACGTCATGGTAATAATTAAAAACCTTGCTGTTTAATAATATCTGTTCGAGGACGTCCCTTTTATTTCATTTCCCTATGAAGTCAATAAAATAATCAACAACGAAAAAACAATACAATTATTGACCTATTCATAAACATTACAAAAACGAATCTTTGTTAAATTGACTTAATTATTTTTGTGATGTTGTTAATTCACCTAATTGCTTGAATAAGATCCAACATTATTATTTATATTATATTTAAGTTAACATGCTAGCAACAAAAAGGTGCTGTAATTGTAGATATAGATGTATTTTTTCAGGATATGGTATATTGCGCCCATTAAGAGTTATTGTAGTTCTCTGCCTAAAGCACATCGGTGAGTCCTGTTTCATCAAGAAATTTGATTAAAAGGCCCGGTTTCAGTGGTTGAAGCTCTTCTATGGTCACATTATACGTCCCAAAACATTTCCTCCTGCGGGCTAATGCAACTCCGCAGTTTGTTAGTAGATGTGTTGGTGTCTCTGCCTCTTTGCAGAATCTGCATGTGCCATCTTGGATTGTTCCAATTTTCTTTAAGTGTCCATTTAATCTGCAGTGTCCTGTTAGGAATCCTGTTAGGATTCGCAGTCTGTTCCTGCTTCCTTTGACACATTCTGTGATTTCTTTCCTACCAAAATTGGTTAGAAGATTCTTGGATTGTCTATGTCCAATGAGTGAATTCCATTGTTCCTTCATTTTCTTTTTCTCCTTCTGTCTGAGATATTCGTTAATAGTATGGATTCCTATGCCACAGAAGGGTAAAGATGTAAAATGCTAGCTTTATTTGTCATGAAAAGTGACCTGTACTAGTTACTACAACATGCCAGTAGATTTGTAAGCGTTTCACTGATGTGTTGATCTGTTAAATATGACTATAATGACAAAAAAATCAAGGTATAGATTATTGATTAATAAGCTCAAATATGCATATTGTGTACATGTATTACAATTCTTGTAGTCACCGGCAATTTCAGCTGTTGTAATTTATAATAAATTACCTGCGGGCCTCGAGAATCACCCACCCTGGGTGTTGGCAGTCCGGAGCCAACCTACAATCTTATCCGCCCAGCTACCAAAGTTGGGAACCAGGGGGGGCATGCTGTCAACATCTAGGTCAGCATCCAACGCATGGAGTTCCAAACCCATTCTTAAATATTCACTTCTATTTACATACCATTCAGTATCCCTCCATCACGAGCTATAGCCTGTGTTGATAAAGCAAAACAAGTAACTAAAAGAAAATAACTCACGAAAATACAGAGACTTGCATGCATCTGCGGGAGCAATGAGAACATGCCCTACAATTAGATTGGAAAAAGTACTGGGATTAATCCCCCTACACCACATGGTAATAAGGACAGCGCAGAAAACCATCATTAATTTTACCAAAGAGAAATCTCCAACAGGAATAAAACTAAAATGGAGAGACAGCAACAAACTATGGAAAGACCATCCGATACTCAGGGCTACGTGAGACGACATGTACAGGATGTTTGAATTTAATCAAAACTTCCAAATAAATCTAGGTACCAAAAAAAATGGGAACGAGAGGGAAACACCTCCTTTAAGAATGGCACCATCCTTTGGTACACAGATGGATCTAGAACACAAGGTACAGGGGCAGTAGTATTTGGACCTGGATCCAGTATCTTTCAAGCTGAGAATTATGCAATCGTAAGATGTACCCAACTCAACCTAAAGTAAGTAAAGGGTACAAAAACAAGAATATAGCTATCATGTGAGATAGCCAAGCAGCCATCAAAGCACTAAGCTCAAATATTAGTTCAAGGATGATGCTGAACTACAAAACCAAATTAAACATATTAGGTACGCAGAACAAAGTCAGCCTCTGCTGGGTACCAGGACACATGGGAGTAGAATGTACCGAGAAAGTAGACACCCTTGCAAGGCAGGGAACTGCTTCATCACTGACAGGACACGAACCCTTCTATGGCATAGGAGCCCACAATATTAATGAGTATCTCAGACATATGGACAAAAAGAAAATGAGGGAACTATGGAATTCACCCATTGGACACGGACAATCCAAGAATCTTCTAACCAATTTTGGAAGAAATGAAATTACAGAATGTGTCAGGGAAGCAGAAATAAACTGCGAATCCTAATAGGATTCTTAATAGGACACTGCAAGTTAAATGGACACTTAAATAAGATTGGAATAATCCAAGACGGCACATGCAGATTCTGCAAAGAGGCAGAAGAGATACCAACACATCTACTAACAAACTGCGGAGCTACACTAGCCCGCAGGTGGAAATGTTTTGGGATGATAATGTGATCTTAGAAGAGCTTCAACCACTGAAACTTGGCCTACTAATCAAGTTTCTTGAGAAATAGGACTCACCGATGTGCTTTAGGCAGAGCACGGGGGATAAAATAGATCTTAAAGGGCGCAGTACTATACCCTGAAATTACATCTACATCTATGTCTACATCCCTCCATCACCCTTTACACATATTATACAACTCAGCTGAGTGAGGGTAGATGGGGTACTCAATATATCGCCATTGACACCATATATTCATTCTAATAGTACATACAAAGTAGAGATCGTCAACGTTCAGTAATCATCTTATTGATCGGGAGACACTGTGATTGATGTTCACTGTGATCGAGAAAAGTGTAACGCTTATCACTGAACCCTAAGGGACTTCATTCTCTTGAACAAAGTCCCTGTGGAGCACGAATCCCGTTCAGACATAGAACCTTCCAGCTGCCGAGGTTTGGCTCTGGGTGCAGTCAACAGGAAGGTCATTTCATCACCCAACACAATCAGTTCCTAAATCCAAACCCATCCACACTCACTCACTCTTAAATACATTCTTAAGTATTTACACACCATTTACTAGTTAGGGTAGTGGAGTGTCTTGATATTCCTCCATCACCCTTTACACATACCAAACCTAACGAACAACCTAATTGAGGGTCAATGGGGTATTCAATATTCCACCATCAACCCTCTGACCACACATGTTCACTCTAATAAGTACATTCACGCTAATAAATACATTCACTTTCTGCACATGCTAGGTATACAAAAACGATCATTGATATACAATATAAAACAACCCTGTTTCCTCTCAAAATTGGAACAGGGGACCCAGATACTTGATGCCGTACTCAAGCACAATTTTTATATTGGGTAGCATTCTTACACGCTCTTTATAAGGAGACAAGGAATTGCACCCTTCAGTTAGGTGAGACATGGCAGACACATATATGGGCTTTAGCTCAAAAGTAATTGACCGTGTGTCAACCTTGCATGGCCTATTCTTAATCGGATGACCCTTCTTCTGAGTACGCTCCTCCCAGGCCATCTATCGACAGCACTCTTGATATGCAGAGCTTTTCTGCTGTTCTGGCCTTTAAATGTATATGTCTTTTATTGGTATAGTATGATTCTTTGTTGGAATGTTCATTTTACAAGGTAAACTTTACAACTATCTTAACTATTTAAACTTTTAACTATTTTAAACAAAACACAAAACAGGCACAACAGACACGTGTAAAATTGGAACAGGAAACAGTCACAACGCATTCACACTTAAAAGGAAGGACTCGTGTCTTGAACGAGAAAAATGACTGGTTCAAACTTTGGTTAATGAACTCTGTTGAACCGAAGGTTTTCACAACAGATTTTGTTCAACTTTAATTGATCAACTACAGTTGAACTACAACAGTTGAATCATGAAAACGATTTAGCTTCTTCCAAAGTATTTTTTTAAAATTTTGTTTTCGATCTTGAGGCCAGTAAAAATTAAATTTAAACATGTTTAAAATTAAACATGTTCATAATAATTTTCATTTTACATATTTAAAGGCTTTATATTCAATTACCTTTGCAGGTGCTTCTAGTCAGTAAATATATTTTTTTTCAATGTTTATTCTTCTCTTCTTTCTTCTTGGTTGTTAGCTTGTTTTAAGATCTGTTTATATATTTTCTCAGGAACTTACAACCATTTCAAAATATTCTTTTATTATATCAATATCGATTTTGGCACCACTCTCCCCTCTTCAGTCTGGTTTCAATTTTAGAACCGCATCTAATTTTTGTTTTTAAAATTTTGTTTATTTTTTAAATAATTTATGTTATTCAGCTAAGACAAAGAAGCATAGTATTATGTTGTGTCCTTGTAGTTTTATATTTTTTAAATCAATCTTATTTTTATTTACAGATTTGATTGTATACACTTAATACACAGAAGTACAAATGCCTGGGTAAGTGAAAATTTATATTTATTTTAATCTACTTTCATGTTTCTTTTTTAATGTACTTCTTAATCTGGAAAAAAATCGTTGAGTATTACTAGGGTAAACAAACGTTTCATAATGTCAACTATAAGATAAAATTGTTCCCCTCCAATAAAATTTGTAAAAAATGAGATTACATTCAGACTTTGGATGACTTTTCTCCGGTGACTTCTTAGTCTGAAGTATCATTTGAACTCGTATGGTGTTACACCGAAAATTTTTGCTTCAAAAGTGCGACAATTTCTTTGTTTAAAGCTTATTTTACATTGTTTCGCTTTTTATTGCGATGTCGGCTATTAATCCGAATCTCTCTCCGCATGCAGTTAAGGTCCTTTCTTTAGACCATTCAGACCTTTATATGAGGCGGATGAAAGAGGATGGTCCAAAGAACACAACAAAGTTTCATGGTGATTATGGGTATCTTGATGACAGTCCTGGAAAGAGGGTTGGTGAGGAAATAAGCAAACCATCCCCACCCAGGTGTCGGTAATGTTATTTTTATTTGAATAATAATAGCAATGCTTCTATTGTCTCATAAAACCTTCTCTCTATATTTTAGTTTGCTTTAAAATACAATAAACTGTACACAAAAGAAAATAGCGTAATTTGTTACATTTATAATTACTATCCTGGTCTAAATGCTGCATGTATTCTTAATGGGCATATTCATCAGTCACTGAATTGACCAACAAAAAAGTAATTAATTATATTTTCTTCTTCAAGTTTGACTTTCATTTTTCTTGTGATTTGTTATATTTTCAGGTAAAAAAATAAAATATATCTTTTTGCCTGTCAGTTCAATAATTTTTGTTCTTTGCTCTGTTATAATTAAAATAAATAAATAAAATAAAATAAAAATGAAAATATTTAAGTTCAGGATTTCCCTAATATAATTTGGTTCTAGTACAACAATAGAAATTAGAGCCTATAATATCGAATATCGAAAAAAAGTAGAGTAGAATTTGTCAGATCACCATTTAATTTCAGCACTCAGCAACATCTTTTTTAGTGAGTCTCATCAAAAAGGGTAAAGAAATCAAAGGTTGTTGACATAATGTTGATTCATTACAAATTTAAATTGAACGGGTAATTTGTGCCAAAATAGTATATTTTATGGTTGGATTTTTAATGATTTGTGTAACATTTGATCTTGTAAACAATTACAAGTGCAAAATATTACCATAAAGAGTGTGAAAATTTTTCTAAAATTGCTAGCTGTATAAAGCCACTATTACAGGAACACTGTAAAAAAGAGAGAGGTGAAGTTTTTTGCATTATAAATCTCCATTATGCCAATATTTAAACACACCATATTCTTCAAAGTGTACTTTATTTAGTATAATTTGAAATACTTTATTATTTTCATTTTTTAGGTAATAAATCAATGGTACAGCATATATGAGTATATTGTACTTTTTTCTTGATAACATCTATTTTTCTTTTTTTCAGAGTCAATAATATGTCGTTGAGTAATATGTCCTGCTCCCGTTGTGGGGAAGGATTCGAGCCAAACGAGAAAATAGTCAATTCCTCTGGAGACTTGTGGCACACCCAATGCTTTGTGTAAGTCCATTTTGAATAGGAATCGTCAGAAGTCCAATATTTGAAAAACGATGTTTTACTCAGAAACCAGTTTTGCAGTGAATTCATTATCGCTCATCATCGGACTATTAAAGTTGTCTGATAACATAATTATCACCTATTATTAGATAACTTGTATGATCTGATGATGAGTAAAGTAATTCCTGACATGCAGGAAAGATCAAACCACTTAACAGTACATTTTTCATTCTATTATCAATTAAAAAGCCCTGGACTATGCCGGGATTTGAACTCAGGACTTCTGATGTGGCAAATATGAGTTAGATAATTTCTGATGATGAGCGATAACAGCTTGAAATCCAGATCAATGCAAAATCAGTTTATTTGCAGAACCATCGTTTTAAACTATTGAATTGTTCACTCACCCATTATAAACATTTTTTTTTTTATCAGAAGTCCAAACTAAAACAATTATTTTTCAGCTGTGCCCAGTGCTTTAGGCCATTTCCAGATGGTACGTTTTATGAATTTGAAGGGCGTAAATACTGTGAACACGATTTCCACGTTCTCTTTGCACCATGTTGTGGACAGTGTGGTATGCTAACATTTGATTATTTGGAGATTATGAGATGCGGTCTCATTTTATATATATTCAACGCAACAAATAATTGAATATTTATTTAAGGGGAATTTGTGATTGGGCGAGTTATAAAGGCAATGAATGCAAATTGGCATCCTAGCTGTTTTCGGTGTGAAAACTGCAACAAAGAGCTGGCTGAGCTTGGTTTTGTGCGTCACCAGGGGCAAGCTCTCTGCCACGAGTGCCGAGCTTATGCCAAAGCCTCTGGAAACAATAAGCACACCTGCTATAAATGCCAGTAAGGCGCATTAAACTCCTGTAAATTTTCAAATTACTTTATAATTGTATTTATTTTTTAGTGGCCTCATCGATGACAAGCCTCTTAGATTTAGAGGAGAAGTGTATCACCCGTATCACTTCAATTGTACTCTATGCGGTATTGAATTGAACTCGGATGCAAGGGAACTTAAAAGCCGCCCTGGATACACTGCAAACGATATGGTAGTTTTACTACTTTGAAAAAAGTCAAAATGATAAAATTATTTTTTTTTTTCCAGAATGAGCTGTATTGTTTGAGATGTCATGACAAAATGGGTGTTCCCATCTGTGGTGCTTGTAGAAGACCGATAGAAGAGCGGGTGGTTACAGCTTTAGGCAAACATTGGCATGTTGAGGTAAAAAGCCTAATATTTAAAAAATAAAGTTAACTCACTAATTTTCGTGGTCCGCTTGACCAATTAATATCTTTCAGTTATTTAAGGATTTTAGTTGAGATAAGAAAGTCAGTGTCACGAGTGGGATTTGAACCCACGACCTTTGGCTAGATACGCCGATACTCTACCACTTGAGCTATTGTGACTTCTAGTCGTGAAGTCACGATAGCTCAAGTGGTAGAGTAGTGGTGTATTTAGCCGAAGGTCGTGTGTTTGAATCCCACTCGTGACATTGACGTTTTATCTCAACTAAAATCCTTAAATAATAAAGTTAATGTTTTAAGCATTGATTTTTTTTGTTTTAAGCATTTTGTCTGTGTGAAATGTGAAAAACCATTCTTGGGCCATCGCCATTATGAGAAGAAGGGAATGGCTTATTGTGAAACACATTACCATCAATTGTTTGGTAATCTCTGTTTTGCCTGCAATCAAGTCATCAGTGGTGACGGTAATTATTATTTTTTAATTTTTTTAAAAATTTAATTTTTGATGCGGTTTAATTTTTAAATGTTCATTTTCAGTTTTTATGGCGATGAACAAAGCATGGTGTGTCCACCACTTTGCATGTTCGATCTGCGATCAGAAGATGAACCAGAAGACAAAATTCTACGAGCTTGACCTGAAGCCAGTTTGTAAAAAGTGTCACGACAAGCTCCCGCACGAACTGAAGAGAAGGCTCCGGAAGGCTCTGGAATACGCGCCAAAAACAGCAGTTGCCTAGCAGACAGTATGCGACCTGATTGCTGAAAAATGCCAGTCACTTCGCAAAGGATCATCAAACTAATATAATTAAAACTAATTAATTAACTTTTAAAAATTAATATTTAAATATCTCAAGATCTGTCGTTTGTTATATTTTAACTTTATAACAAGACCACTGGTGTTAATTTCTCTTGTCAAAGAGGTGCTGTTTATCAGTTGAACATTATTACATGAATTACTAACAAGAAGGTACAATTTGTTATGAAAAAAAAAAAGTGAGGTGGTTTAAACGGGTATTATTACATTGTCTGATGGACATGATATAAATTCATTATAAAATAGTATTAATATTGAGAGAAAAAATTTCCAAAATGGACTGAAATTTATAGTCAATAGAATGTTTATAGCAAGTGTTTAAACCAAATTATTATTGTACTATTCAAATCAGTAGAAATTTTTAAAAAAATTGTTTCAATTCATCCAAACAAAACAAAATGACAAAACGAAATAGTTATTTTATTGATGTTAGTGATGCTGGTGCTAGCAAGCTTTCAATCGGGTGCTTTGCAATTGATAGTAATGTGCCTTTTGTTAAAAATGATCTTGTTATTAAATATATTTTGAATTATTAATCTTGTAATTTTTATATCTAGTGCAAAAATGTCTATAATGCCAGGGCTACAATAATAGTAGTAAAATTATAAAAATAAGGAGAAAAAAATAATCTGAGTAATGTATTTAGATGAATAATATGTGTAGAATAATTCGTGCTTCCAAAATAGTTTACTGGAGAAATTATTTATACTGGCTAATCTAATTAATTAAATATAAAAATATAATTAATATAAAATATGATTGTAGTTATTTTTCCTGTTAAAAAAAACTTGGACTGAAACGCTTCAAGGGGTAGGAAAACTCACGGTCAAAGGAGACTTTTCAGAGCCGAAAATCAAAATTAAAAAATCTTTCAGCAGAGCTTTTCTCAATTATTCTTTATAAGATCTTGGTTGAGATAAAAAAGTCAGTGTAACGAGCAGGATTGTAGTTGAGATGGAGAGTTGGTGTCCAAGAGGATCGAAGTCACGATAGCCGAAGGTCGTGGGTTCGAATCCCACTTGTGACACTGACTTTTTTATCTCAACCAAGGCCTTAAAAGGACAATTAATTGATTGAAAGAAGTAACTTGATCAATTGACCATGAAAACATAAATGGATTAAAGAATCTGTAAAATTTGTTAATAAAGAAATATGAAAAGAGGTAGAAACTCAAAATTTTTTCTAGACAGGCCACAGCCCACTCGATATACAACAATCTGTACAATTATTTTTTTAAAATAAGGATTATTCTTGTTGGGTCAGGATAAGCTAATCTCCCAACAGGAGGCTATAGAAGAAAGCTGGCTGAGACAAAAAGAGGAAGGAACTTTTTTTAATAAACTGTTTTAAAAGCCTATTATTTGGTTCGTTGGCTAATGTATAACAACGAGGCCAAAAAAAAAAAAAAAAAAAAAAAAAAAAAAAAAAAAAAAAAAAAAAAAAAAAAANGCCTATTATTTTAGTTTATCTGGGTCAGGTCCTGATTTTTCTTATTTTAAAATTGAATTATTTGATTTTGTGACACTGTTGTTTATCTGTATTTGTGAATGACACAATTTGCTCGGTCTGAAGGAGGTTTGTGCAAAAAATCGTTATAAATCTTACAGAGAAGCAGAACCCCTGATACATACTACTTTGGAGGAAAATGTGTCTGGCTGCAACAACCAGGAGGAATTAAAACTGTTGAAACTTGTCATCTCCGGTATTGATGCAAATCAGGGGTTGAAAGGCAATGACTGCTGGGGACAGGAGTGACGCCCCAGGCCAGGGCTCCTTATCGCAGGAGCGACGGGGTAGGTACTGACGGCCTTCAGATGTTCCCGAGACATTGGCTAATAGAGAAGGGCTCCTAAAAAATTCTCTTAATGTTGAATAGATAACTTTCATAAAAGTGTGGTCTTTTGGCTCAATTGGTTTAGAATAATATTTAATTTTTATTTGTATATCAGAACGTTTTTTTTAGATTCTAATTGAATTCTGGCGTTGGTTAATTATGAGCAAGCTTATGGAGTCATTCTAAAGATTTTGGGACAGGGTGTATAATATGTATTCTTTTAAATACATTTTTTGATATTGGATTTATCTTTCATTTTATTTCACTTTTTTCCCCTAAGATATTTTTGGGCTTTATTTCAATTTGGGGGCAGGTAGATCCACACAAACCGTCCCTTTCTGGCCGTATCGGTCTGGTCACAAACTGTAAAAAATAATCGCATGTAATTAATTTAGAATCAACTTGTGTATTGAAAGGTACAGAACATTCTTGTAAAGGCTTCTACAATCTCACTTGAATGAAAATAACAAATTTAAGTATAAAAATAATCATTTTTGTTTTAAACTAAAAACTATTCAGTCATTTCATTACCTATCTTAAGTTTTAACTAAACTCAACGGATTAAATTAAAGTGACGCACACCCATATGGTTATAATCTTATCTAAAGCTGAGTAGGGAGACAAAAATAGGGCCTGTGCTTGTAGCAGTTATATAAATGCAATTTTGAAAACTAAGTGAATAATAAGCTCAATATTTAAAATAAAAGATAATTTCATAAAATATTCATTTTATTAATCATAAAGAACTATGGATGCTGTGATAAGATTCGCAAGAAGAGAAGATTGTTTCCAAATTAGGAAGCTCATTCAGGTACACCACCTAATTTACACCTTTCTTGTCTAATGCTTATAATATATAATGTATCATTTATTTAAAATTTATTGTTTTTAAAGGAGTTGGCCAATTTTGAAAATATGCCTGAAGGACCTGTAATTGATGCTAAAAGTAGGGTCAAATTCAGCTTTATAAAGCATACACTGAATGTTAAACGAGTTTGTTATAGAGTTGGAACATGACGGCTTTGACAAGGACAAAAAACCATACAAGTGCCTTATTGCCGAAGAAAAAGGTTGAGAAAATCAAACTAATTTACTGAATTGTGAACTAATCAAGCGTATTTAATTCAGCATTGCCTGGAATTATAATCGGTTATGCCATTTTCAATATTGGCTATTCAGTCAGAAAAGGAAAATACGTTTATCTTGAGGATATTATGGTAACGGAGAAGTACCGAGGAGCAGGGATAGGTGCAAAATTGCTATCGAAAGTCTGTCAGGTAAGGATTTAAAATAAATTATAAAAATGCGAGATCTCTTGTGGTCTGCCTCTCCATGATGGGTTGGTGTGTCAGATCGATATTCCATGGGGGTCTGGACCTACAATCTTGCTAATAAATACATTCATTCCAATAAATAACAAAGTAATTGTTCTGATAATGAGGTTGGAGCCAAGAGCTGCCAGTCCTACTTTAATATTTCTATGAAGGTTTATGAAAAGCACCTCCTCCTTTTTGCTTTATATGTGGAGTTGTAATCACATTGTAAACATATTGGTTAATGGTGTATGAGTGGTGAACACAAATTGAAATGGCACTGGGTAAGTCTGCCTGACGAGGTTTTTGAACTTGCTAAAATGGTTTTTGCCATTTTTAGTAAGGAGCCAGGGGACCACGGTGGTCGAGTGGTTAGGGCGTCGGAATTGTCTTTGCTAAGGCTGAGGTTCTAGGTTGACTCCTTGTCCATGACACTCAATGGTGGTTTGATGTTAAGCCCTCCTGTATGACAGGAATTACTTTCTAAAGAAACCTTAGGGCCATGAGGAACGCCTTGATGATGAAGCTGAAACATATTTGAACAACATCAAAAACCCATGCTGGTGTTTTTTTTTAAGTATGTTGGGTTCAAATGCAGGGCTGCTGGATTTAAACCCTGAACCTTTACCTTACAGTGCTGAGCGCCATGTAAACGCCTAAACCGCCACCGACGCCCTTATGGACATGCTTGTACAGCCTCCTTGTATGAATTATGGATTGAGAATTTTTTATGTTAATTTTTGAAGAGGATAGAATTGATTAGTTAAATTTGATTTAGAAACGAACACTCTAAAAAAGTGGGTCTTGTGGTTGGGCGAATGTGTCTGAGGTGTATAGGAAAACAAAGGTAAGACTTGGTAGACAACCCTGTGTCAAGCCAATATTCGTGATGAAAAACCAAGCCAACTATTTTTGTTCTGTAAGTAAATAAATGATTTTTTTACTTCTACTATTTTTGATAGAAAGCTGACTTCAAATTTATATTCCTAAAGAACTGATTAAAGGCACTTGCAGCATATTGTACATTACATTCGACGACTTCGGAACTCATTGTTAATGTTATACATTTAGACGACAGAATTGACCACTTGGAGGTCCGAAGTCGTTGAATGAAATGTACAATATGCTGCAAGTGCCTTTAATCAGTTCTCTAGGAATATAAATTTGAAGTCAGCTTTCTATCAAAAATAGTAGAAGTAAAAAAATGACGATAGTTTGTACAAATCATGTTTTCTTTCATCATTGACTTCAAATTGACATAAATGTATAAATAAAGTCCCAGATACATTGAAAATTTCGAAACGCATCTTACAAAAGGATAGGCAAAATAAACTAATTAAGCATGATACAGGCTTGTAGCCTAGTCAATTAAAATATGCGACCAGACATTAAACGTATCTCCCTGATCATAAATTGAAAGAAATTCAATTAAAATGTAAATAATTTTTTCCAGGAAGCAGTAATCCAAAACTGCGCAGCAGTGTATTTCGTTGTCCTGGACTGGAATCCAGCGGTTGAGTTCTATGCACATTTTCAAGCTCGGGATATTACCAAAAGAGACAATTGCCATTACTACGTAATACAGAAAGATAAAATGATCGAAAATGCAAATAAATATTGTCAGGAAACATATTTGTAGATAAGAAGTTATAACATACACTATATTTCACCAAATACACTATATTTCCAATTGTAAAAATAGTTTTAACTTTATTGACTTATACTATACATTGTAAAGATTTGTAAGAGGTACGTTGAGGTACGCGAAGTGATGAACATTTATTATGGTCAAATTTGATCATAATAGTCTGTTGATTTATAGACCAGGTGATAATCACATAATCAATCTACATATGTAAATTAAATTAAAAAAAAATTCTATCTCTTCTATCTCAATATGCATGTACATATGTATTTAATAATAGCATTTTTAACACATTAGTGCATATATATTGAAAATAGAAGTTTATAGTAATCAAATATAAAATAAAACATGGTTTTGAACATCATATAAATTGTTTTCATTATTGCTTTGTCATGGAACTAAAACAATTACAATATACTCTTTTTGTAAATTACAAAAAAAAAAAAAAAAAAAAAAAAAAAAAAACAATAAAATGTGTGTAACTAACATACATATTTATATAATATATGATAATACTTACATCCTTGATACAAATAACAATTAACAATATTTTTCTACAGCCTTACATTACTAACGTAAAAACAAAAACTTACAAAAAGTATTTTATTTAAATACAAATTTGATCTTTTATAACTAACCGTCAATAATTACTTTGTAGTAATTATCGTCAATTAATTTTTGGTAAATTAATCGTTTTGAGTCAGAATCGTATATGTCGACACTAAGAATGGAAGAAGTCCTGTCTTTTATCACTACCCTCGATTCTGCTGATGTTAGGCATTCGTACAACTTCTCCATAAGTTCATTTGGATTGCAAGAGACATCTGGGTTGACCGTTAAATTATGTAATGCAAGCGGAATACTGAGGACTTTCACTTTGAACCAATCCTTCTTTAACTCGTACGCTCTGGGGAGAATAAAATTGATTAAAATATGCAATATGCAATTAAAATAATAAATGTAATAAACTTACTCGTCTGCGTTAATTTCTTCGACATTGCCATAATCTACATACTGTACAAGGAGTCTACAATTTGACAATTCTTTTACCACAATGGCCCTGTACCAATGTCTGTCTCCAGAAAACAATGTACAGCAGGCTTTATCTAGAAAGAAAAACAGTTTGGGCTTTGTTTTAATCTGTAAGAAAAACAAAGTACTTACATAAATAAGGTGGTTTCAATTTAGACAACTTTGGACCCTCGGTTTCCATTTGGATCAGTAAGTCATTATATTCATCTTGCAGTTGTTTAACCTAGAACAATTTTTTCATTTTGAATTTTTTTTTTAAAAATTAACTAACGGTTATAGCTGAACCTCTTTGATGTCACTGTCCACAATCACAGATATTTGTGTCGGTGAGAGCACTGCAGTAGGTTCAATTTTAAATGATTTAACATTTTCTGGCACTTGAAAGGACTGGTAATCTGCTAGGTTTAACTACAAATATAAATAAAACCAAATTCATAAATTAAACTGCAAAAAGTATGTGTTTTTAAATATACAGGAATCACTTTTAATATTTTTTTACAGGATATAAGTTGGTATAATAATTAATGGAATATTATATATAAAATATTATAATTAGTCTCATGGGCTCCTAAAAACTTGGCTGCCGAGAAAATGATGCTTTTTGTTTCTATCTTGAATTGTATAGAAACATATACAGGGTGTCCCAGTTCCTTCTGACGAAACTCAGGGAATTGATTCTACTCTTTGTTTGGAGCAAGAAATGGTCAGGAGAAAATTTTTGGAAAGTTCTCTATTTTGAAGATATTCGTCAATTTAGGTTTTTTCAACTTTTCACTACCTTACCACATAAAAACGCTTACAACTTCCAAAATGTTGAGACGAACAAATCCAATTACACCATTTGAAAGAATGCTAAATTTGCTGTAAGATACTTCTATTTGCAATAATCCGAATGATATAAAATGTTAGCCAATATCAGTTGGAACATGTCAAAATTACAAAATTTAAAATTTTTGTCATGATTGCACGTTCTACTGAGGTTACAAAAAAATACCTATAACTTGTCAAATTTTACAAAAACTTCTTCATCAAATATGCTTTACGTTGATATATCCAGGTTTTTAAATAACATTCTAGTAGAGTTGAAAAATGACAATTGAATGTTTGATAACGTGAGCTAGGAAAATGGTAAATTTGAAGGGGGGGGGTAGAAATAAATCAATTAGAACTCGCTTAGTAAAATAAAAATGACACATCTGTAATCTCACAAAAACCATACCAGAAAGCTTCATACAATAAAATGCAATGGTTCTTCGTAGCAAGCACCTAACAACAAAGGAGGAACTTTTGAGAGGAAATGCTCAAAGTGTTTTCCCTCTTCTCGAATGCATAACTGACTTTCTTAATTTCTACCCCCCCCCTTCAAATTTACCTTAGCTCACGTTTTCGAACATTCAATTGTTATTTTTCATTTCAACTCTACTAGAACGTTATTTAAAAACCTGGATATATCAACGTAAAGCATATTAGATGAAGTTTTTGTGAAATTTTACAAGTAGGTATTTTTTTGTAACATCAGTATAACGTGCAATCATGACCAAAATTTTAAATTTTGACATGTTCCAACTGATATTGGCTAACATTTTATGTCATTCAGATTATTGCAAAGAAGTATCTTACAGCAAATTTAGCGTTCTTTCAAATGGTGTAATTGGATTTGTTGTAGTCTCAACATTTTGGAAGTTGTAAGCATTTTTATGTGGTAAGGTAGTGAAAAGTTGAAAGAACCTAAATTGACGTATATCTTCAAAATGAGAACTTTCCGAAAATTTTCTCCTGAGCATTTTTTGCTTCTGAGTAGAATTGATTCCCTGAGTTTCGTCAGTAGGAACTGGGACACCCTGTATATTCAGGTATGAAGCAGGAACATCGGTGGTCACCACAGTTAAGGTTTGGAAAAAAAACGGATTCCAGAATCAAAGCAGACCAAGACGATAGGCAAATCAAACAATCTCTCTAAAACTCTACTAATCAGAGTTTGTTAACAACATGATTAAATAAACAGAAGATGGATAAAACTATAATTAAATTTGTTTAAGATAATCATTAAGAAATGACCACAATATATGTTAAAATTACAATTAATTAAGGTTTTTAGTTGAGATGAAAAAAAGTTAATGGCACGAGCGGGATTCGAACACACGATCTTCAGCTTGATACGCCGTTGCTCTACCACTTGAGCTATCGTGACCTCAATCCACTCGGACACCAACTTCCCATCTCAACCCCACCTTTTGAATTTTCCCTCCTTTTTGCTATTTTTCAAATGTTGTGTAATCGGATTGGATTCTCCGGCCACAAATGAAATGGCCACAGAGAGCTTTAGTGAAATATACTTCATTTAAATTCATTAAATTCCTGCTCGTGCCATTAACTTTTTTTCATCTCAACTAAAAACCTTAATTAATTGTAATGTATTAATTGGTCAAGCGGACCACGAAATTAGTGAATATAAGCTAAAATCTTCAAACTTTACTGCATAACGAAAAGACGATTACCATATTTTCGACGGAATTATTAGCAATTGTAGTCCAATGGATAATTTCGTACTCAGATTCTGCTGTATTTTCCTCATTGTTAACTGGGTTGTTGGAGTTAACGGATAGAATTTTGTTATTTTCATTCAGTGCAAATGTTGCGCTGTCTTTCGAATGGATACTGACTGGTCTAGGTGATTCAATAGAGCTGCTGGCTGTCAGAAATTCTTCCTCTTCTTCAACAGTATCAATGTATCTGGCACAACGCATAGATACTATTTCATCAAGCGCGTTTTTACCATTTGGCAAAATAATTTTATCTACCTAAAAAATAAATCGATACGTAAAATTGGTATAAAAATATTTCTACCAATATGTCTTACCCCATAACAACCATCATTTAACTCAATTACTTTTATCCTGCAGAACTTTTCAACGACCAGGGAGTGTATTTTTTCAATTTGCACTTCGTCCCAATTACCGCGAATCTAAATTAATAAAATTTAAATTTGTACAAGCAATGAAATGAAAGTTAATTTTTTTCAAATAAGTTTGACTAAAATTTAACACTTACTGGCTTTAATTTATGAAATTTACATAATGTAGCTAGTGTAGGTACATCTTTATACATTGGTTTTCTCAATTGATTTACATCCACATACTCCTCATTTCCAAAATCAATAAATTTGACAAGAATAGTTTTATTTTCAACCTATACATTAGTATATTAACATAATGATTTAATATATAACATAACCTAAACACTCAGTATTAATTAAGAGAGGTGGTTAGTGACCGTTAATCGATAATTATTTAGAAATCGTGAGTTGCGGTCTGGTGTGATGTAGGTTTCGAAAAACATTTTCTTTATTGTGCCAACGTTTCGATCTTTATTGAGATCATCTTCAGAGCTCAAAGTGTTTGCCTTCTGTGTAATTGTGCCATTCTTACATGTCGTGTTGGGCACTCTCAATGACACAGTTACGCAGAAGACAAACACTTTGAGCCCTGAAGATGATCTCAATAAAGGTCGAAACGTTGGTACAATAAAGAAAATGTTTTTCTGAAACCTACATCACACCAGACCGCATCTCACGATTTCTAAATAAGTATTAATTAAATTTAAACAAATAATTGCATATATAACTTACTTTCATAATCTCACCCCGGTACCACTTTTTGTCAAGGTAGAATAAAGCACAACACATTTGTCCTACTTGCCATTTATGATCTGACCCTTTCAGTGTTGAGTTGTTGTACTCTTCAAAGAGTTTTTCAGTGATGTCTTGCAATTTACTGGTGTCTAAATAATAAGAATATATTTTCAATTCTGTATAATAAAGCTACTGGAATTAAGTATTTACTTCTCATGAAGTCCTGTATGTAGATTCCATCTTCTGAAACATACGTTGGGAGACCCACAAATTCAAGTTGCTCAAACTTTTCAGGAGGCAGCCAACTCGGTAAGTGACTGAATTGTGATTCATTTTGCAACAACTAAATAGTAAATGATTATTAAAAAAAATAATGTCATAAAAAGAAGTTTGTGGTAAATAAAATTATACAGTGGGCAAAGGCAATCACAATATTTTTAAAACACAGTACCTTGGACGACAATTTCATGGTTTCTATCTGTGCCAGAACTTCAGCTTCCATAATTTTATTGGCGGTTATTTGAGCCTCGGTTCGGATTATTTTCCCATCAGAATTCCATTTTGTGCTGGAGAAAAAGAAAACTGAATGAAATTTTAGAAAGTGAAGAAATCACATCGTCAGTGAATGTATGAACACGATAGCTGAGAGTAGAGACTCATCTTTAGAGATAATAAAGATATACATCTCTTAAATTTCAAGTTTCTTACAGTTTTTATGTAGTAATCAGAATCATGGAACAATATGATTTATGAATATTGGAAAATAGATTGTGAATTGCAAGTCGATAGCAAGCAAACTGTAACAGTTAGTTCACAACAGTTTTGTTTTCTCATGCCATGTTGGAGCCCCATCCTGAATCCAGTGATCAGTGGGTAGAACATGGGCTCATAAAGAGGGCTTGAAACATAAATTAATTTTGAATGCTATGACAATAGTGTATAATGATGTGTCGATGACCTGGTGGTTCACCTTTTGAGAAATAGAAAACTCCAGCTTTTACTACGATTGTAGTGTTAAATCTACGCACATCTATCAACAACATTCAAGCTCAAATGGATACTTTTGTCTTGAAATCTGCTGCAATCCTGTGTTTCAGCATAAGTGGTTTTAGCCAAAATACCACCAAGAGCTGTCAAAACCGCTTATTTTCTTTCTGGGCGTCCTAACTGCACATCCAATGCTTTAGAGGAGTCTATAAAATATAACTGACTGAATGATGGAGCTTCACCCACATGTGACAACGAATCTGATATGAATCGGTGAATCTGATCTTGAATGATCAGAAATGGTGAATGATGGAGTGAGTGCGGTGTTCAATCCTTTTTTTAAAAAAGATAGTTTCTACTCACAGTAAGTTTACACTTACTTGAATGATCATGTTTTATGCTAATCCTTTGTTAGTAGTGAAAAGTATGCTCATCGCCCCAGCCTGGCATTAAAGTCTCCTCCCAGAATGAAATTTTTCTCTCTGTATTTAGTAATAAGATATTCGAGCTTGGCGACGTCTTGATCAATATCTCTTCTCCTATCACAGTACACTGACACAACGATCATTTCATCTTTCCATCGCACCACACAACAGGCCATGTCACATCACACTCCGGTAGAGAGACGGCTTTAATATGTTTGCTTAATACATAGACTGCCGCTCTTGGTCGTGTCGGATATCTTGATTTGACTACCTACAAGCCCCATGGTGCCGCCATTTTGTGCTAACTTTGCACTCGTCATCGTTTGCATGGCGTGAGGCACGAACACCTCTCTATAATTAGTGGCACACTTTGCATTCGCCACGGCTCTGATTTGTGCATCGCAATACTGCGAGCCCGCACGATGGTTGTTACGTCTTCCCACCCAGTGACAGTTGGCACATTTTACCATAGTGCTGTTGCAGCTCCTATCATGCTGTCCAGTTTTGTTTGTTCCTTTTTTGGGCACACTGCAGACATGTGCCCGTATGCCTGGCAACTGTAGCACCTTGTTACTCCTTGACTGCGCAAGTCTGGTAATCGAGATTGTCCCGGCCTCGGTTGAGAGCCGCTTTCCAAGTCAACCTCAACCAGCCATGACACGAACTGTGAGTCTTTCCTACTAGCTCCTCCATAGCGTAGTGTGAAGAGGGGCCGAATAGCTTCTTTCGTCCAATTTGAGTTGTTCACTGCTAGTTGCACTGATAACTCCGGCTTGTCCTCAGGTACACGAAGTAGAAGGAGTCGCGGATTTCTTTTTCCTACCGTGTGAGCCTTGAGGCCAACCTGATCAAAATTAAGATTAACGAGGATGGCGCGGCAGTCAGCGGTCGTCGCAGCTCTTATTGCAACGCCGCCTCTAGCCAACACCCTCATGTCATCGATTCTGACCTTTGCCTCCCTTGGGTTGATGGCCTGCTTGGTACGCTTCAGTACCTCCGCTAACACATTACAACCAAAAAATGTTATGATGGAATAGTCCCAATAACTATCAAAAGAGACAATGAGTTATTTATTAAGAGGAAATACTTATAAACTGCAGAGAGGGTCATCAAGCTAGGTGACCATAAAATTTGGGATCACATCAGATGGTCAGTCATTTAGTGGGCTGCATAATGGTAGCTTCAAGGAAACCAAGGAAATAGCCTGGTGTCCATGTATTAGGAAGACAGGAGTATTGACCGACTTGTTTTGAGGACCGATATGAAAGGGAGGATTGGAAAAGCAAATCACTCAGTTGAGTCGGTACACAAAAGAGAAAACTTGAGTTGAGGTAGGGCACGAAGAAGTAAGTCTAAGGCAGAGATGAATCAAACAGTTGAGTGAAGGAATTCCCAAGGCAAGAAGAGTTGTGACCAAGGAGAGGGGAGACCCCATTAAAGGCAAAAAAGATTGAGTAGAGCTGACTGACAAGCAGAGATAATTATTGAGACATTTTGCAATAAATATGTATGAATCTTATCTCTCTGGTATTTGTATTTTTTTCTTTTAACCTCTAAAGTATTACAAAAGCGAGTTGTCTTTAACCCAACCAATAAATAAATAAGGTACACATAACCAAGTTGCTTATACAAAGAAAAACTCTTGTCAAGTAGACATAAAAGAGAAATAGTTGCACTAATTAAAAAAAATACTAACAACTCATCAGCTTTTGCATATCCTTGCATTCGAATGTAATGGTTGAAGCTTCTCCATTGATCTCTTTGCGGTTCGAGAGGCCCGGCTGGTATATTCAACTTTGCGTAAAGTTCGACAGGCAGGGATTTATTTTTTATATCTGCCATCTTTGTAATATACAGAAATCCCTGATTGGCATTTACAAACTCTTCAAATTCTGTAATTGAGATACCAGACCACCTAGTCGAGCTTGCAGGAATCAAGCCGCCCAGATGACATTTAAGTGCTCCATCTCTGACATTCATAAACTTTTCTTTAAGAGGCCTTAAATTAGACATTTCGATGAGTTCCATGGCCCCAGTCTCAGGAAATATTATCTAAAATATCACATTTATTATAAATTTTGGTAAAAGACGAGGGGGGAAATAGTAATTAAAGGAAGTAAATAATTACCATCACTCTATTGCCTTCTAACAATTCCGTTATGTATCCTCGCCACCATTTATTTTCAAAAAATACAGCGCATTTCTCATTTTCTTTCCATTTAGTCTCAACTGACAACTTATACTCAGTACTATAGGCATGTTGCAACTCTTCTTCTAAACTGTAAAATTATTAATGGTTTTATCCAAATTTAACGAAGTTCAACTTGCTAGGTGGCTATTAACCTTTGGAAATATTTGGTCAAGTAACCCAAACTAACATAAAATTCCCCGGGATCGACTATTCGTTTGATGTCAATTTGAATTTTTATACATCCATCTGGTGATTTTATAAAAAAATTATTGTCCTCGAGAGGATTTGGCATTTTTTTAGCATCTTCTTGCAATTCAGGCTCACATTTCATGTCACACTGCAATGTCTGCAAAATCTAATTTTAAAGGAAATAAATATTAGTTTGTGATTAAAAATAAAACAAAATAAACACTTTTAAAATAAATCAAAATAGCTTACATCAGGTGCAGGTATTTTATATACTTTTGGAAATTCTACTAATTTTGAGCTTGAAAAAAAAAAATTAAATTAAAAGGACTGTCTCGTCATAAAGTTATCAATTGTGATCACACTTACTAAGGGCCTGTGCTTCTTGCATGACCTTCTCGGACAATCTGTGCATTGATACAGATATCTGCTTCTGCATTTGTGTGATAAAGAATAATATCCATGGTTTTGTTTTGTATATTCTGTATAACGGCCTTTAGCTTGGAGTTCATGTAACTCTCTAAAATCAGTTTCGCCCCAGGAGACCAGTCGGTACCGATGGGTTCCACTTCTGACAAATTACATTTGTGTGCCTTAAAAGTTATTTTATTATTATGATGTGTTGCGATGGATCAATTTGATTGAAAATTATAGTTATTTTAAAGAAATTGCTGCTCCTTTCATGCTATTGAAAATCATGGCTTAACATTTGAGATGCCATGAACAAGGTGACGGTCACTGTACTTACACTTTTTCTAATAAAATTCCTAAGAGCAATAGCATGATTTAAACCCAAAACCTTTAATTAGACAAAGATGACAATTAGGTAAATAAAGTATCAGACACCCTAACTATTGTACTAGGCTACCGCATCCACCTTTCATGCTTTTTACAACATAATGAACTAGTTGGTGATGGAGGAATACTGAGTGCTCGACCACCCTAAGTATGTAAATAGGAAAGAATGCATCTAATAGTGGGTTTGGATTTAAAACCTGATTGCATTGGGTAGGATGAAATAAGCTAGCTGTTTATTGCCTCAATAGCCCAACCCGACCTGGAGGAACGGTCAAGACCCCAGACTGCTAAAACCCAAGAGGTGGATGATTCTTGAGGCCTGCCGGTAATTTACTGTAAATTAAACAAAAGCTGGGATTGCCGGTGGACTTAACTCTGCATACAAGCATAACTGAGCATATCAATCAGTATTTAATAATTATTCGGAAATCGTGAGTGTGGTCCAGTGTGATGTAGGTTTAAAATTTTTTTATTTATCGTGCCAATGTTTCAATCTTTATTGAAAGTTTAATTAAGTCAGTGTCACGAGCTTTTGAAGTCACGATAGCTTAGGTGGTAGAGTAGCGGCATATCGAGCCGAAGGTCGTGGGTTCGAATCCCGCTCGTGACACTGACTTTTTTTATCTCAACTTAAAACCTTAATTAATTGAATGTTATTAATTGGTCAAGCGGACCACGAAAAATAGTGACTTTATTGAAAGATTGGTTTTCTGTGTAATTGTGCCTTTCTTGTGTGTCGTGATGAGAGTGTTGCACAACATGCAAGAATGGCACAATTATGCAGAAAACAAACACTTTGATCCCTGAAGATGATCTCAATAAAGATTGAAACGTTGGCACGATAAAGAAAATGTTTTTCTGAAACCTATGCCACACCAGACCACAGCTCACGATTTCCATAGATAATAACCATCATAGATTAATGGTCACTAAACACCACACGTATTCAATAATAATGAACTAATTAAAAAACAATCAATTAATTAAGGTTTTAAGATGAGATAAAAAAGTCAGTGTCACGAGCGGAATTCAAACCCACGACCTTTGGCTTGATACGCCGCTACTCTTCTACTTTATCTCAAATTAAAACCTTAATTAATTGAATGTTATTAATGGTCAAGCGGACCACGAAACTAGTGAAATTAATAAGTTTGAAATGAAGTATCATTCACTAAAGCTCTCCGTGGCCATTTCATTTGTCGTCGAGAATCCAATCCGATTACACGACATTTGAAAAATGGAAAAAAGGAGGGAAAATTCCAAAGGTGGGGTTGAGATGGGAAGTTAGTGCCCAAGGGGATCGAAGTCACGATAGCTCAAGTGGTAGAGTAACGGCGTATCAAGCCGAAGGTCGTGGGTTCGAATCCCGCTCGTGACACTGACTTTTTTATCTCAACTTAAAACCTTAATTAATTGAATGTTATTAATTGGTCAAGTGGACCACGAAAAATAGTGAATTTAAAGAACAATGTTATCCCATTTAGGTTACCTGTGGTCGTAGCTTAAAAAATTTTGATGCTAGTATCTTTACATTTTTCCAACTCAACACTTCGACATTTCCATAGTCGATATAAAAAACTTTGATCATTTTTGAACATGGTACATCAACGATAGAAGCTCTGTACCATTTCTTGTCGATGCTCGATTTTGCTGCAACTGGCATTCCTGAAAACACATTAGCAAAAAAAAATGTATTTTTCAGATTCAAACTCCATAAAACATTATTTTAATAATTTGCCATTATAAATAATTAAATAAATAATAACAATCACAAATTTGTTATTGATCATAGATGCGCAAAAAATATCTAGATGGTCAATTCATCTTATCTTTGAATAATGACAATATATAAAAGACAATACATATGTTTTATTCCGTCCTGGGAGGAGATTATTCAAAAGGATAATAAAAGTTTCCTAATTGTAATGTTATATATATTTTTTTTTCAATAGCCTTATGTTTCTCATATTAGCCAGAAAATGTATTTCATGAAATGAAAAGTAAATTTATTCTTGGGCTCCAAGTCCCCTTCAATAATTAAATATAAATACAGATTAAAGCATAGTAACATTTACAAAAGTCTATACATAAAATGTGAAAATGTTCTAATATGTAAATTAAATAAAAGGGGCAATTAAAAATCTACCAAGTTGTAAAGACAAGAGGTAAACAAAGAGACAGGATTTATAGGTGGAAATAGATGGGGCTCAGTGGTTAAAATGAGGAAGGGAATTCTATAGGTTGGAGGCATGCATGAGAAAGGAACGACTGAACGTAGTAGTTCTGTTTTGGGGGATAGAGGTTAGAAGGGTGGGAGCGAGTTTGATGAGGATAGAGGATCTGAATTGAAGACAAATATGTACGGTGGGGAATGGGATGATATTATCTGAGAGAGGAAGAAGCCAAGGAAGTATTGTTTGCTGTAGGAAGGGTACAGCCACTTTAAATTGTACGGTCACATAGGACATCCTTGGAAGCCGAAAATAAAACATTTCATTATATGTTTACGCTTAATTACAGCTTCCCAGGGGGTCCTGTACAATAAATATATATTCAAAGAATAAGAGAAGAAAGTAGGAATACGTGTACAAAACATGAGAAGGTGACATGTATTTACTATTCACTCGTTTTCGTAGTCCACTTGACCAATTATCTTTCAATTAATTAAGGTTTTTAGTTGAGATAAAAAAGTCACTGTCATGAGCGGGATCTGAACCCACGACCTTCGGCTAGATACACCACGCTCTACCACTTGAGCTATCGTGACTTGATCCACTCGGACACTAACTTCCCATCTCAACCCCACCTTTTGAATTTTCCCTCCTTTTTGCCATTTTTCAAATGTTGTGTAATCTATTTGATTCTTGGTGACAAATGAAATGGCCACAGAGAGCTTTAGTGAAGGGTGACTATATATAATTCCCACTCGTGAAAGTGACTTTTTTATCTCAACTAAAAACCTTAATTAATTGAAAGATTTTAATTGGTCAAGCGGACCACGAAAACTAGCGAATTTAATAAGTTAAAAGGAAATATACCTTCACTAAAGCTCTCTGGGGTCATTTCATTTGTCGCCGAGAATCAAATAGATTACACGACATTTGAAAAATGACAAAAAGGAGGGAAAATTCAAAAGGTGGGGTAGCCGAAGATCATGAGTTCGAATCCCGCTCGTGATACTGACTTTTTTATCTCAACTAAAAACCTTAATTAAATGAAAGATATTAATTGGTCAATCGGACCACAAAAACTAGTGAATTAGGAATACTACTGGGTCGCATATAGTTGTGAAAAATTTTAATGACAATTATTCAGAAATCGTGAGGTGCGGGATGGTTAGGGTCTGATGTGCAAGAATGGCACAATTACACAGAAGACAAACACTTTGAGTGAGTAGAAATACTTTGATTGAATATAAAAAATATATTTTGCATTGTATAAATTCACTTTTTCAACATCTTACAAGTATTTGTTAAATTTAAACAATGTTTGTAAAACCCAGGTACTGAAGATGATCTCAATAAAGATCGCAATGTTGGCACGATAAAGAAAATGTTTTTCTGAAACCTACCTCACACCAGACCGCATCTCACGATTTCTGAATAATTATCGATTAACGGTCACTAATCACCACACGTTTTAACGACCTTTGATAAATAAATTTCTTGAATACATTCACTAGTTTTTTTTGGTTCGCTTGACCAATTAATATCTTTCAATTAATTAACATTTTTAGTTGAGATAAAAATGGCAAACAGGAGGGAAAATTCAAAAGGTGGAGTTAAGATGGGAAGTTAGTGTCCGAGTGGATCGAAGTCATGATAGCTCAAGTGGTAGAGCAGCGGCGTATTTAGCCGAAGATCGTGGGTTCGGATCCCGCTCATGACACTAACTTTTTTATCTCAACTAAAAATCTTAATTAATTGTATGAGCTAGTTTTGGGAGGGGGAATTCCAAGGGTGGCAGTGGAAATTGAATCAATGACCACGAGGACCTCAAGCTGAGTTTGACACTTTAACCACCCGGCTACGATTACATTAACTGTTTAAAAAAATTAAAAAAAGAAAGCATTACCTTCTTTTGGATTGTAGACTATATATTTGTTGTTAATATTTCTAATGTTATAAGTCTTTTGTAATTCTTCTAACATTGTCAAATACTTATGTAAAATATCCTTAAAAAAAAAAGTAAAATCAATAATATAAAAACACGCTCAACTAAATGAAATACTTACAGATTTTATAACGACATAGAAATCATTGACATTGTTAATGTTTGATAATGAAACTTCTAAAATTGATCCAAAAGGGTATCTATCAAGGGCAAAATATTTCTTGGTTTCAACAGTTGGAATATTCGGCTTTAAAAAATGGTAAACAAATTAAAACTGTATTCATTAATAAACGTTCATACAAAATACTAAGAAATCAACAATACCGTTAAGACCTGTGTCGACTCAGTCATTGCTGCATAGTCGAGGAAACAAAGTGACTGCGCCACGTCGAAACTACTATTTTCATTAATTCTGTGCATACTGACTTCGTAACAAATTTGAGTTTTGTTAATAACAGTTATATAAACTTTTTCATTGTCAATGATTTTAATCATAAGTGCGACTGCTTCAAGATCCCATGTGACTCCATTGCGAGGTACACAATTGGCAAGTTTGCAACGTATGGCTAAACCCGGGATGTTGATTAAATTAGTAGGCAAAGCTTTTAATCTGCTAAATGGGACTGTTTCTGTAATTCCAAAATCGATGTACAAAATTTTGGCTTCAGTAACACTCGCTAATTCAACAACTCGAACTCTATGCCAACTGCTCTTATCTTTGTAGAGAACTAAACAGATAGTTCCAATGGTCACATTTGTAACTGATTGTAGACGCCGATTCGATGCTAATCGTTGCAAAGTCTGCTGTAACTCTTCAAGTTTTTTCTGAGCAGTAACCCGTTGTACATAAAATTCACCAGGTGAAACTAAGTGTGAAACATAAACGGATAAAGAGACACCTAAACAAAAAACATTTTCATTTAGTTCTAGTGAAAAAAAAAAAATATATATATATAAACAAAATTACCAGGAACAAGATCATCAGTAGGGGTTAGCATAGGCATATCATTGGAAGAAACACTGTATAAAGATGACAGGCTGGTGGACGAGCTGCTTCGAGAGGAAAGCTCTTTTGGAAAGCCTGAAATTTGAATTATTTTTAAAAGGCTCCTGCCATCAAAATAAATTTTAAATTGTGATTCCTGCTCATACCAAGTCCTGACAATTTCTCAATGTCTTCTGCTTTTGCTTCTACTATTGGTTGTTTTATATATCCAGAAGGAAGATTTTGCTCAGGTAACATTTGGTATGTCTGTTTGAAAATGCTTGAGACGTTACAATGGTCATCGATTAATTTGAATATGTTTTTGTCAAAAGTGAAAAGGCTGGAATGAAAATAAATTATATACAAAAAAGCACATCAGAATCATCACATTTTTTGTTTAGAAAATCACCTCGAGTTTTCTTCAGATTTCTCAGGATTGTAAAGAAAACATGGTGTATTTTCTTTTTCATTTAGAATATGTATAAACTGCGAAAAATCTATTGATGAAGAAGGGCCCTGTAAGACATTTGAGACAAGGCTCAGCAGCGCACCCACTTCCTTCAAAACGAAAACAAAAAATTATTCCTGTGGATGTACAGATGATGGTACCGTACCATAAGTCAAGAAAAAAAAACTTACCTCGATGTTATTATTTATTTGTATGATCATGTCGTTTAACTGACTTGTGTCACGATATGACACTAACTGTCGCATCAGTTTATTTTGTAGGAGTATGAGATGACCATGAAGGCAAGTAAAATGGTCTTTTATTGCTTTTTCTGCAGCGCTCACACTGCTCTTTGAGGTCGCATTTGCCAATTGTTTTGACAGCTGAAAATAATAATAAAAAGTTACAGGTATTCATTAATTGATATATTAAGCACAAACTTATGCATATGTTTGATATACTTAAATATAAGTATGTTTTATTTTTATAATTAATATATAATATACAAACATGTAAACGTCTTCATTGAACTAGTACGACTTAAATTTATGTTAACTTATATGGATATTTTCAATCAAGCAATTAAATATAAATTAGAGTCATTCACTAGTTTTTGTGGTCCGCTTGACCAATTAATATCATTCAATTAATTAAGATTTTTCGTTGAAATAAAAAAGTCAGTGTCACGAGCGGGATTCAAACCCACGACCTTCGGCTAGACACGCCGCTACTCTACCACTTGAGCTATCATGACTTCAATGTTGAAGTTCACGGTAGCTCAAGTGGTAGAGTAGCGGCGTGTCTAGCCGAAGGTCATGGGTTCGAATCCCGCTCGTGACACTGACTTTTTTATTTCAACGAAAAATGTTAATTAACTGAATGAATTAGAGTATTATCAATGTACAAAATTACATAGAACAGAGGAGTAATGAAGAGGTTGATAAATTGACCAAGGGAAGTTTGTTGAGGATATCTATTGGTCCTGAACCCTTTTGTGATATACAAACTGCCAAAAACATAGATCCATCAGGCCAAGGATTGAGAAAAAAGTGTTTAGTTCAATATTCCAGGACAGAAGCATCCAAAAAAGTCCGCCAAAGAACCTTAGCAGAAACTAACAGCAGAACTACTAAATCTAGGACTAACTGGAACTAGAACGACAGTTGGACTGCAACCTCCAGAGGCACATGTACAGACTCGGAAGAGCAGAAACAAGCCTGTGCAGATATTGCCAGGAAGAAGACAAAATAGTGGAACATCTTCTGTTGGAGTGGAGACTGAGATTCCAACTCCTGGAAGAGGAAAAGTCCAGTTGAACGATACAAGCAGAGTCTTTAACAAAACTTTAGCAACTGTTAAAAATCCTTTAGCTTACTGAGGAGTTCTAGTTAATAATATAGATTACTCAATAGACCAATACAGGTCGCAGTGAATGTGCCGTAAATAGACCGATTCCTCTTAACTTTTTAGAGTAATACATGCAGGTTGCTTTTTTTGTTGTTTTTGTTTATACACATGGTTGAAAACAAACCTAAATAAAATTAAAAAGCAAAGATTATTATTATTATTTTTTTTTTTTAAATTTCGCCATTGGAATCTTCCTGATCTCCCTATACCTAATGGCCTTGGTCTATCAGATGTGTTTTGGCATTTGCTATCGTTGTGGTCAGGAACGATAATGGCTAATGATAAATCTACACACAAGTTCATCGCCCATAACATAAATCAACATGAAATCTCAGAAAACAGTGTTGTTCGAAGGAAAAATGTTGAGACTAGCACATCAGGACTAAAATTAACGATAGTTAAAAATCAAAATATTAAAAGAATTTAAAAAATAGTTTGGAAAGTTTGTTTTGCATCAGGCGTGCTTTGTAAAATTGTTAATTATTACCAAAGGGTCAAGGTGAATCCTGTCAGTTCCCTGAGACTAACGGGTTAACTCAGTTTAAACACTCTTTAACAATGTTTAATGGCAGTTAATCTAGCGGAATAATATATACAAAACTGAGTTTATTGTTGGTTAAGCGCTATTAGTCACGGAGAGTTATCTTCAACGGATGAAGCGAACCTTGTGAAAGGGATACTTTTATGTAAACGCTATTGTTGCATGTACGAGGAGCAGAATTAGTTGTGAAAATTTTTCCTACCAAGCCATCTCGTTTTGGATCATTTTAATACCCTAAACATGAGCTACAAAATAACAGAAAAAGATGGTACAGAATTGTTTACTGCTGGATACTACTATTGGATTAATACATGATGATGAGTTGAATGATTTATTTTGATTTTTACCTGTATACCAAACAAAAACTACTTGAAATTTGAATTTACTCATAGAAGAAAGCAAAAATGTTTAAATTCATAAAATAAAACACAACCAAAAGTTATTTTTTCTTAATCAAGATCAATGCTGATTTGTAAGTTCTTGCAAATGATCCACGATGTTTTCTGTTTTATTACTGAATCTACCTTTTTATTCGGTAACAAAATGAGAATTAATTTTTTTATTGAGGTAAAAATAACTGGAATTAGCGAGCACCAACTTACAACTGTTATTTTATTTATTTACTTATGTGTGGTGATTAGTGACCATTAATCGATAATTACTCAGAAATCGTGAGTGAAAAAAAAAAAAAAAACCATTTGTAATTATGTTGTGCTCAAATGCAGGGCCACTGGATTCGAACCCGGGACCTTTACCTTACAGTGATGAGCGCCGTGTCAACGCCTAAAAACCATTGCGGCCACCGACGCCCCCTAGAACTGTTATTAACTAAGGATGTGATGATGATGATGAGGATACTAGGCAGCGGGGCTGTGCTCCCCAGGCACTGCAGCCTTCTGGCTTTCTGTACCTTCCTAGTTCCTAGTTCAGTGCAATAGATTCAATCCTTCTTCTCAGATGTATCAGGACATGGACTGTCGCTGCTACAATTTCATTCCTTAGGTTTCTTCTGTATGTTAGGTTAAATCTCCACTGAGCTGTTGCTTTGTTTAGGAAGTTGTAAAAAAATAAAGACAGGTATTGTTTCAAATTAAATTTATTTACATAAAACCAAGATATTATTTACGTATTCATTCACGATTACTATTCCCCCCCCTATTTTTCATATGCTTTTTCTCCTTGGCTGAATATTTGAAATATTTACAATCAGTCGTTTTTTTAAACGAAGCCAAGGGATTAATCCAAGTCTGGTTTAAAAAGGCGGCAGAACAAAAGGAGAAAAACGGCAACACAGGTTAAAACGATTTCCCAATTCAGTTTACGATCGTTTTACGTCTGATTTAAATTCAAACCGACCCGTCACCCGGACTCATCCGTCAGAGTGGGAAAGTCGTAGGACATCACTTTGCAAATTTCATTCGGGGTCAACGTCTTATCAGCCGCGAATCCATTGCGTTTTGCAACAAATTTTTGACAAATTCTATTATCTGAAACTCGACACTAATGAAAAGTATAGTAGAATGAGAACACCAATAATTAATTACACGAGTAGGAGCTGTGGGTTGTACTCTCGTGGGCAAAACTTGAGGATTGATATATTCCAAACTCCTCTTCTTCTTTTTGTTTTTTCAAATAAATAAAAACGCAATTATTAAAACGAAGAGAACGCCGATCTAAAATTTTGGACAAGGAAACGTAGGAACGCTGCTATGAGTCGAGATAGGATTATCATCAGTCCTGGTGTTAATTTTTGATACGACATGTATCTTTTTAGTTCTCTATAACAATTCAATTTTGAAAATATGGAAGGGAGTGCCAAGATGACAACCTGGTAACATCAGACGTCAATATCAGCTTCTATCAGGGGGTTGATGATGTTTAAATACTCGAAAGACATGATTCCTATGCTACAATTGCCAAAACTGGGTCATCAAATTTATCTTTTATCTTAGAAAACTTGATGTTATATCAAGGTCATCGGGATTTTTCTCAATTCAAACTAAATAGAATCTTTTTTTTTTTTTATAGCGAGGGTTCGCAACTGCAGAGGTTTTATCAACCTTCGGGGTGCCGGTGTTTTTGAAAAAAAGCCCAAAAAGCCCATTTGTAAGTATGTCAGGTTCGAATGCAGGGCCGCTGGATTCGAACCCGGGATCTTTACCTTACAGTGAAGAGCGCCGTGTCAACGCCTAAACGTTTCGGCCACCGACGCCCCCTTATCTCGATTCTTAAATGTGTTTTATTTTGGAAATCAATGACGAGCTGAGACATATTTGAAAAATTCTATAAACCAAGATTTGTATTTATTTGCTTTGTACATGCAATACAAATACAATCGTGTGCTTACAGAAGAAAGATTTTCAAGGTAGCAGGGTTTTTGGTTCTGAAATTTATACTAACGGAATTTTAAAGTCAATACAGGTCGCTTTGATGGACCAAAACTTGCTACAAGACGCTTCTGCACATCTTTAACCTTTGACAGAGGTGTCAATTGCAGTATTAACCAATTCGTATGCTACTAATCGCAAATCATTGGCAACCGTTGTGGACTTGAAATTAAGTTTTCATCTTATAAACTTCAAGATATATCAAAACATCATGGCATATATGGAAAATCCTATGAACCAAGGGTTGAAAAATAAATCCGATCAGGCATTGCTAAAAGCTAAAACATGAAGTGTTTCGCAATTTTTATCTTGTTCAAAGTTTTAGTCCTTTTAACTATGAAATTCATGTTTTATGGAGCATAAAAGCCAAAATACTTCGTTTTAATGGACCCAAATAAAGCAAAAAATAACTCTCCTGTACTCGTCAACAATCATCAGAGTTGGCAGAACGTAACAGAAGTAGTAAGCTGTAACGTAAACCTGCTGATACTGCTGGCGCTGAAGTTCTCAAGAATTTAAGCCATGATTCGTACGCTATCAATCTATTGGCCACTTTGAGACTTGAAATTAAGCTTTTATCTTAGAAAACTTCGTTGTATGTAACTATCACGCTTTTCTGTAGCCCAAAATATACAATATGTCGATTCTTTTCACTCTTTCCGAAAAAAGGGGATCGATTTTAGAGAATATTCCTTTCAAGTGATGACACATTTGAAAAATTCTAAGAATAAAGATCTCATGCTTTGATTTTAGCGGAAACATGAAGATGTTTTGCAATTTTAGTTTGTTCAGACAGAAGGTCTTTTGACTATGAACTTTAAACTCACCAGCTTCATAGAGTTTATGGAATAATGACGCCACAATTATCTATTTGAATAATGACAACGATCCTGCACATCGTTATGATAGAGATGACCGAACGAAAACAGAAGTAGTAAGTGTGTAGCGGATTTATGGTGGAAATATGGACCTGTCGATGAAGGTAGGTTAGTATGTACGAATGAACGCAGGTTACTAGGCGGGTGAATCAATGAGAGAAATATTAAAACCA